CAGGGATCTAAGGACGCACAAACGGATCATTAAAAGGTTGTCTGCTCTGGACAGAGTGCTATGCATGTGGTGCATTTAAGAACCTTGGAAAGGTAGACATTTTTCTGGAAGAGGGGTTAACTTTTGGACAGTTATACTTGTGCAATCTTCCTGAAATTGACCTTAAATTCATGTTTAATTCTTCTTAGGTGAAAAGTAAATTAATTACAGCTCATTTAGATTCTTTTTTATCTCCTTTTTCTTTCTTGTGAGGTACACCCTAGAATTTGACTTGTGTGTACGATGCAGGAGATGGAGATTTGATCTCCTATTTGATCTCCTATATCTTATATAAAAATATATGAACACATAATTTATATTTGGCCTTTTTGTGTTTTGAAAGAGTACCTTGGGTTCTGGGGGAACTATATCTATACCTACTGTAAGATTATAGATTTAGAAACAACTGTCATGTAAAAAGATGCAATAATTTAACTTAATTCTCATCAAATGATTCAGGCAAACTGATCATAAGGTGTTAAATTTTAGAGTTTGTCAAAATAATCAGATTCTCTGACTCCTTTCATCAAATCTTTCTTCTGTTAATGTTCAGAGCTTATAAACACATTTCTGTCTAAAGAACAACTTCTTGTCTGACACAATGGGAAAATAAGGTGAAGATATAAGCACTTAAAAATGTCTTGAGCAGCCCAGTGTTGGAATTTTATGTTCAATGCCCATCCAGGTTGGATGCCACATTAATGTCGTACTGTAGATTTGCATTCTATTCAATTACCAGCCAGCCAATTACTGTAGCATAGCATGCAGTCCATCCTGTTAGCTTGGTCTTTATTCATCAGTAAACACATGAAATGATCAACATCATCAAAAGACATGTTCTTTGTTCTATCCTTAATTGTACCAGACCTGCAAACCTTTTTTGTCCATGTCTATTGGAAGGCTTGAGTTTCATCCAGCAGCAGCTCAGCACTCAGGCCAACAGCAACCAGAGGTTTCTTTGTCTCAGGCTCACAGCAGAGGTCCTTCTCATCCAGTCTGGCACTTTAAGTTCTTGAACTCTAGAGAAATGTGTTGCAAAAAGTCAGTTTTGCATCAGTTTGGTTCTGAAAGGTCACCGTGATGACTTATTCTTGGTGATTCTGGAGACCTGGGACTTTTGGGCCCGGGTCTCTATCTTTGCTGGAGATCCTGCCAAAATGTAACAAAGCTTCATGGGCAAAATAGCAGGGGGAAAAGAAAAAAATAAGAATCCTGTGTGTTCTGTGGTTGATCACACCTCTGTGAGAGTTCCTGTGGCTGCTTTTGGAGGCCTTGGCTGAAGAGGGGGGGTTGTAAAAAAAAAAAAAAAAGTTGTAAAAATTATTTGTTTTTGCATATCAATTGTTTGTGGAGGTAATATATGGACAAAACTGATTTATGAGAAGAAATCAGAAATAAGAGAGCCTGAGG